TCAACCAAATTGAAGGACTATGTCTCTACGGCTGTTGCTTACCCTATTCAAGATTATGTTTATCTTGACCATGTTTCTAATGGACATAAGGCTTTCCTGACTGCCATTGACAAGCATCATGAACCAGCCACTTTTGAAGAAGCAAAACTAATTCCAGAATGGCAAGCTGCTATGAATGACGAACTTGGTGCTCTTGATAAAAATCACACTTGGGAAATAGTTTCTCTTCCCAAAGGCAAACACACTGTTGGTTGTAAGTGGACTTATAAAATAAAATATCAAAGTGACGGGTCCATTGAGCGACACAAAGCTCGGCTTGTTGCTAAAAGGTACACTCATACTTATGGTGTAGATTACACAAAGACCTTTGCACCGGTAGCAAAAATGAACATTGTGAGGGTCCTTATGTCAGTTGCTGTCAATCACAGATGGCCACTCTTCCAAATGGATGTTAAAAATGCCTTCTTACAGGGAGAACTTGAAGAGGAGGTCTGTATGGATCTACCTCCAGGTCACCTTCTTGAAACTCAACCTGGTAAGGTGTGCAAACTAAAGCGAGCAATATATGGCCTAAAGCAATCTCCTCGCGCCTGGTATGGAAAGTTGAGCAAGGCACTCGCTGCATTTGGGTTCTTCAAAAGTAAGTCAGATTATACCTTGTTTATCAAACACTAGGCGGAAATACTATTGTGGTCCTTATTTATGTAGATGATATAGTTATTTCCGGGAATAATGTGACTGAGATAGATAAATTGAAGAAACATCTCAACATGACATTTGATATTAAAGACTTGGGGCGTTTAAAGTATTTTCTCGGTATTGAAATTGCTGAATCTAATAAAGGCTTATTCATCTCACAAAGAAAATATGTTTTGGATCTCTTGAAGGAGACCGGTAAGTTGGCATCCAAACCGGTTGATACTCCTATGGAATATAAGGGTAAGTTTGAAAATGACTCCACTCCTCTATCTGACCCAAGACAATTTCAGAGACTTATTGGCAAGCTAATATATCTCACCATAACCAGACCAGATATCTCTTATCCGGTGAGCTACGTTAGTCAATTCCTACACAAACCAACACAAGATCACATGAATCTAGCATATCGGATACTTAATTACTTGAAGTCATGTCCAGGAAAAGGTATATGGTTGAAAACGAATAGCCACACTGATATTATTGGGTATGCTGATGTTGATTGGGCTGGTAGCCCTTATGACAGACGATCTACCTCTGGTTTCTGCACCTTTGTGGGAGGTAACCTTGTTACTTGGATAAGTAAAAAACAGAGTGTAGTAGCTCGTTCCAGTGCAAAAGCTGAATATCGTGCTATGGCCTTAGCCACCAGTGAGCTTATTTGGCTCAAAGATCTCCTGTACGACCTCACCTTGAAGAAAATGGAGTTCCCTATTAAGTTGTACTGTGATAATCAAGCAGCTATTCATATCGCATCCAATCATGTGTTTCACGAGAGAACCAAACACATTGAAGTGGATTGCCATTTTATTCGAGAAAAAGTTCAAGCTAAGATAATTGAGACACCATATATTCGAAGTGAAGATCAACTTGCAGATATGTTCACAAAGGCTCTTCCTAAAAGCTTCTTTCAAAACATCATTACCAAGTTGGGCTTGATTGACATCTTTGCCTCAAGTTGGAGGGGGAGTGTTAGAAATGTCAGAGGAGATAAATTAGGGGATTTGATTGATTGTAATCATGTATCAAATATAGCTCATAAAAAGGGAAACAAATCATGTGATTTCTATGATTGTGGGCAAAATAATTTGGTCCAATTATTGTATCACTTATTATTTATATTGAAGGGAACCCCCCTCCAAAATTATCACTGAGAGGGGGAGAAATATCATCAGTGTGGACGTAGGCCTTTTGGCTGAACCACGATAAATCTCTGTGTCTTTTTATTTTTACAGTTTACAATTTAATCCCAACACGATACGAATTTTTTCATATTATTTTTTATTAATATATATACAACATGAATTTTTATTTTTATTTAGATAAAAGTATGACACGAATTTAAATGCAGGTCAATCCGAACACAAAATCTCATGTTAACAAATAGTGTGTATTTATTCTTGATAATATTTTTGACTGAGTATTCATTTAATAAATAGTTTGTTAGAAAATAAAAAGAAAAAAATCTTATTTATGTCAACTTATGTTTCTTGCATACAGATTCATTCTCCAGAACAAATAAATAAATGGATTTTATCAAATATTATTTTTAGCCATATTTTTCCCAACTAAAAAAAGAAAAAAAAATGTTGTTAGGAACATTTTCAAGTACACACTTAGCCTCTCGGCTGGCAAAACCTTGAAAATGTTAACACACACAACACAAAGATAATGAATCACTTAAGGGTGTGTGAATAACAACCATTTTGTACTATAGCCTTGCTTGAAGAGAAATAATTTTTTTTTATTTCTATTAATAGAAATGAATCTGTGAGTGAGAAATAAGAGAGAAGAGAGAATCCATTTGAGAAGAAGAAGCTTTTGTTATTATGAATGAAGTGTGATTCAGAACTCTATTTATAGAGTTAGAAGATGACGACTCAACATGTAACAAACTCTAACCAATAGCTAACTCTAACTAACAGACTCTAACAGTAATGAGAAAAGAATCATGTACAGCATGTGCACTCCATGTATGATACATCAGTGAACAAACCAAGCATTTATATTTATATGCTAATATCTATGTTTAGGAACTTTTTTCTGGGCAAAAAAAAATGTGCTTGATAACACAAGTTATTTTTATTGCCATCAAGAGAGAATATGTTTTTAATAGTGTATTTAACAAATAGTGTGTATTTAATTCTGATAACACATTCTAAAATATATGTATTTGATAAATAGTGTGTCAAAGAACTAAAAAAGACAATAATTATTTCTTATTTCTGTCAATTTATGTTACTGAGATACCAGTTCGTTTCAAGAAACATAAAAATAAATTGGTTTTATCAAACATTATTTCTAACAACTTTTATTCCCTGAGTTAAAAAAGAAAAAAAGAAAAATTGGAAACAATATCTATCATGCACTGATCTAAACTCTACTATACATTTCAAAACCCTAATTACAAGAAGTTATATCACTTAATTTTTACTAGTCCCGCTAACTGAGTCAGCTGAATTCACATCCTTCTGCAAAACGTATGTAATTAATGTTCGGGATAAAAATTCCATGAACAATAGAAACAACAGTGACACAAATTCCCATCATGTCCCAAGTCATAATTCAATATCCAAATTAATGCCCCTAGTCTCTTCAAGTACTGTGCTGTTTTGTGATGGTGTTTTGGATATGAAGAGGCCATTAAAAAGAATGTAGGTGGCCAAGTTCTTGGTTACTTTCACTGAAAATAATCATTACCATATCTGAGCTATGTAAAAAAAAAATTGGTTTTGATTTCTAAGGAAGGATTGAGGAGTATTAATATGGAAGAAGATAAAGCAGTTTGCATCAGCAAACCCGCTCGGTTCGTATTTATTTCTTGTCACGATAAAGGTTAACAGATTATTGGTAAAATAAGAAATTATCATGAAAAACTTGCATGACATTTTATGGAAAGAATCTACTCTGCTCGAGTTTCCTTCCCACGGAAACATTTATGATGTATGACAGTTCACGTTATGAAAGAATCTACTGTGACTTCTGCTTAAGTTCTTGTTTACTTCAACCGTTTGAGTTGAGCCACTAAAATTATCTTTTCCCGGTTAATGTTAAAAGGAAAATATTACTCTCATTTTACATAAGATAATTTATCTCATTTTCTCTCACTTCGATTTTCGCACCCCACTTTTTTCTTCTATTTCTTTTTTCTTGTAATGATGGGACCTACCTATTTTCTCTCTACAACATAAGATAACTATCTTATGTAAAAGGAGATTAATAAAACACTAATGTTAATGGGTTGTAATTTGTAAAACATGCATAAATTTTCTATTTTACCATTCTACTACTAGTGTCATCTGTGCATTTTCAACCGTAAATTTCTTCTATTCTTGCATATATATAATAGCATTTATTATCTACCAAATTTTGCTGGTGGTTGTTGGATCATGTGGATTGTATGAATCCACATCTGCTCAATACATTTAATGGCTGGCCCAGAATGAGTGGGTCATCCTGATCATGATGTCACGTTGGTTGGTGCATATTGAATACGACCATGGATCATTGAGTTCAATGGCTATGCTGCCTGCCATAGAATGGGCAATGAATATGAATATGCAGGGGAAGCTCTGTAGGCTTCATGGAGGGACTTGCAATTATTTGGGATCATTGCTTTCACCTTGTGTGTGTAGGACTCGACTGTTTAGAGGCAATTCACTTTTTTTTTTTTTTAAACTGATCCTAATTATCTGTTTGAGGCAAATCAGAATTCTCGGTATCCTCATGGGGGTTCGACTCTTTGAGCCGCCTATGGGACTAATCAGAGTTTGGGTGCGAGTTCAAGGATTACGGTACTTATGCCCCTCCCCAGATGGTGTTAGTAGGATTCGAACCGAGTTCCTCTCCCACCACTCAGTCCCCATGCTACCAACTTAGCCACTACACATGGGTAGGCAATTCACTTGATACAACATGCTTTCCGCATGTCAAAGACAATATGTTTTTAATGTCAAATATAATTCAAATAATAATTAATGTAATTAAAATAAAAATTATGTCAAATTATATAATTATGAAGCGTTACCATTTTGTATGTATATTGCCGAGGCAACCGCAGTATTAATTTCTTGGCTAGGATAGGTTTCTAGTTCCTCAGCCCAGCTTTGTCTCATATAACAAACTCCTTAATGTGAATTAATTATGTCTTTAATTTGATTCTCTGTGATGATGCTAAGCCCCTTCCTCTACTGCACTGCTACTTGTCTTTCTTTTATTTCAAAATTCCTGTGTCCCACTAAATAACACTGCACTAAAACCAAATTTATTTCTGCTCTGCCAACCATATGCGAGAGCAGCTCCACTTTATTTCACTGGAAATTACAATGAAACATACATTTCGTTACACACACAACATCAAAGTCACAACATTGTCCCTACATAGTAGAACGAAAATTAAATTTTATTCTCAAGCATGATACAAAACAGGAAAATGAGGATCAGGGAGCACGCCTGCAGATAGTGAACCCATCACCGATTGAAGCAAGGGAAATTTCAACGCGGGAATCGTTTGCAATTTCTTTGTTGAAAGACAGTGCAGCCTGCCTGGGTCCTCTTTTGGGTGCTGGAACATCCTCTTCAGGCTTGGCAACACTTCCACCCCAGAGGGTGTTATCGTAGATAATTAACCCACCAATCTTAATCAGTTTAAGAAGCCGCTCGTGATAATTCCAATAATTATGTTTATCAGCATCGACAAAGGCAAAATCAAAAGTTCCCTCATTTGAAGGCTGCAACAAAAAACAATATAGAATCACTAGCTAGCTAGTATTACACTCCAAATATCAAACAAATAGATAACATCGATAGGAATATCAAACAATCATGCATGCTCACATCTTGTAAGAGTTCATCAAGAACTGGTAAAGCTGGAGATTCCATGAAGTCAATCTTGTGTTCAACACCTGCCTTTTTAATGAATGGCAGTCCTATCTCATAAGCTTTTCTGTCTGGATCTATGGCTATTACCTACAGCAGGCAGATAATTGAATCAAGTTAATAAAATTAAATATACATTGTATCAATATATATATATATATATATATATATATATATATATATATGGGGCAGGATCATCTTACACCGGTGTAAGAATAATAAGTCTTACACCAAATCTTAACCATTGATTTTTTGCATCTAACGGTTAAGATTTATTAGGTCTCACTCATTAATTAATTTTTAATTCCCAATAAATCTCAACCGTTAGATGCACGAAAATCAACGGTTAAGATTTGGTGTAAGATTTATTATTCTTACATAAGTTGATCCTATCCTATATATATATATATATTGAGATATATAGTCCCACATTGGTTGTATGAGCAACTAATGTGGAATTTATAAGGCCAAGCTAGCTTTTGGAGTGGTGTATCCCAAGGTTCTTTACATGTATCAGAGCTTCGCCCAGGTAGATATACAGTTTAATCAAAAAATTGGGTCTGTGCAATAATCCACACTCATAAGCAGAAAGGATATGCAAACCTTTCCATCTTCAGGAATGTTAAGTGCAGTGAGGAGAAGAGAGTATCCAGTGAAAACTCCCACTTCAATTGTCTTCTTAGCATTCATAAGTTTCAAGAGCAAGGCCATTAGCTGACCCGCATCAGGTGCTGTGCCCATGAAGCCCCTGATTAATGAAAATGATATTACATATATAAACAAAGTTCCTAATGTTAGATATATATTGGTGTTAATGTCAATGTTTGTTAAGGTAGAACTGTGTTAAAAATAATAATTACATAGGGTGGCTTGCTGTGGCATTCCTAATCTCTTTCAGAGTCTCTGGTTCTCTTGGGTAAACGGTGGTCTCCAGTATATACTGCCACAACATTGTTGGGTTAAATTAAACAAATAGGATCAAACAATTTATGAAATTGAAGACAAGAAAAATGAAAAAAAATAAAAAAAATTGTTTAAACGAACCTTGGTCAAGTTCTCACTCTGCAGTATAACGGGATTTGCGGTCATTTTAGGCTTTGGTAAGTTTTCCATTTCTCTCTCAAAAAAAAAAAAAAAGTAAAAAAATCTTAGCCTTACAATGCCTCTCCTGGTGCAGTGATAGGAGTAAACTCCTGAACGAAGAGGAAAGAAGAGACTAGAAAGGAGTTTTCTTTTTGCTTCAATTGAATGAGGCACAAAGACATGACATGCCTTAATATAGCATGCTCAACAAGTTGCAACTACTCTCAACACCCATTCGTACAACCAGCCATTGGGTTGAACGCACCGCAACCTCTATTCATTCACCTCTTGTGACTAAATGATAAATTAACCGTTATAATTTTATAATTTTTTATTGAAAAATATTTCATATTTATAAATTTTTTATTTACAAACTTTTATAAATTATATACTTTCAAAATTATCTTGTTTAATAATATGCTTTTGATAGTACATAATATAATTTGTAAAAATTTTAAAAAAAATATACATAAATCATTCCTTTTATTTATTTTAATATTTGTTATTATTTTTCACTATTATTAATTCATTTTTATATGATTATAATTATTCATGTCATCGTATCATTTTTTTATTTTTTTTAGATATAAGTAAAAATTGAATATATCAACTAATATCACCTGTTCAAATCCTTCGTCGGGCTACCAATCCTAACGCCTTGTAATGTTTTTGTCAGCACACGGCAGGATCGAGATCCTCGAGAAGCCCACTTAATTTCTCACCATACTGACAAAGAGAAGAGTGCAAGCAAATTAATTATTGAATAAAGGGAGAGAGAGAGAGGAGAGAATAGATCTCTAATACATAGACTCAAAAACGGCATGAATTTAGGTTTATATTTCCTCTAAATACAGGAACAGGACGATATGATAATCTTTTATCAACGATCATCCATTATTTGCATGTTTCCCAATCCCAACAGCTCTTGTCGTTAAGCCATTAATTGCTAGAACATCAAATATTAATACTATCAATATTACAGCAGTACCAAACAATCAAAGGCCCGACAGAATAGCATGAGAAATTAATAAGAACAATAGTAAATACTTTTTTTTTGTCTTTAGTAAATTTTACGATGCTCATTTTAGTCCCTAGTAAATAAAAAGGTCTATTGTGGTTTCTAAGAAATATAAAATGAACCCATTTTAGTCCTTTTGAGGACTAATACGGGCCTTTTTTGAAATTGTGAGAAACCACGATTTCAACTAAATTGGTCTATTTTGAATTTCTTAGGGATCACAATGAGCTTTTTTATTTGCTAGGGACTAAATCGGACATCGTAAAATTTGCTGAGGACCAAAAATAATATTTACTCCGAGAACAAACATAAAAGTACGGGAGACTTTGATGGGGGAAAAGGAATAGTAAAAAGTAAAAACAGCCCACCACGGCTTCAACTAGTAAAAAGTAAAAACACCACTATGCACTAGCACCAATGTTAATATATATGATAAGGGACTATTATTCCAAGGAGAAGAATTTTGGTGATTTTGGACCACCGTTGATTCAATGGTACAAATCAATTAAAATAAAATAATTATTGAAAAAAAATAAAAGAGGAGAAATAAAAAATACATTTTTATACAAATGTCATTTACTGACTGGAAGAATCACATGGAGGAGTCGGAGCACCAATTTTTTTTTCCTATTCCAACGTTCACATGCCTCTGACGTGCACCACCCAAAACTAGCAACGTCGCCTCACTCAGATATTGATCAATTTTAAATCATTTTCAAATGACATATCCAAGTCACCACACCCACCTCCCAAGTTGTCAATGGCGCCAAAATTCCTATCCTTTTACTCCCCATGCAACATCGTTCTCTTCCTTTTTCTTTTCTTTTTTATTTATTATAACCGTAACCATAGAGGTACAATTCATGCCATAATTAAGAAAATTTTGCCTTTTCCATTTTTCTTTTTTCTTTTTAATTAAAAAAAGAGAAAAAGATAGAAAGTTGCTTTAAGTAGCAACATAAATGGGTCCCACCAACATAACTAAATTTTACAGACAAATACAAAAGATATAAATTAATTAATTAAGTCTTGTTTGATTTTGGGTTGAAATTATTCTTTTCATGATATTAGAGTTTAAGTAATCATGAGTTCAATTCTTTCCAACCCCACTTTCAAATAGAATTAAGAAAAAGCATAAGATAGACAAAGAATGAGCTTGTGTCATATCTGTGCTTCAAATCTAAAAGACTCTGCGTGAGAGAATGTGTTAGAAATATACAAAAGATACAAAATAATTAATTAAGTTTCACTCAATACCTTAAGATTTTGAATTAAAGTAGTCCTTTTCAAAACTCAATCCAAATAGTTGGTAAATTTTTTTTTATTTTGTAAATGTTGGTAAAATTTTTAATAGGAATAGAATTCATTCATTTTTTTCCAGGTTAATATAACGTGATAGGTATGAATAACTCGATATTCATTAATTAACAATGATAATTAATAATAACACGACATTACATGACTTATTGGTCAATAATGTAATTAACCATAGAAATGCAAGTTTGTTTGTAGTTTAAACCCAACATGAAATGAATATTTTCGTATTATTTTTTGTCAATGCACATATCACACTAATATAAATGCAGGTCAATTCGAACATCAAAATCTCATGTTAATAAATAGTGTGTATTTAATCTTGGTAACATGTTTTACTAACTATTCATTTAATAAATAGTGTGTAAGAAAACAAAAAACCAAAAAGAAAATTCTTATATATGTCAATTTGTCCTTCTTGGGAACAAACAAATAAATCAATTTTATCAAATATTATTTTTAGCCATTTTTTTCCAAACTAAAAAAGAAAAAAATTGTTGCTGGGAACATTGTCATGCACGTTCTTAGCCTCTCAGTTGGCAAAACCTTGAAAAAGTAAACACACACAACACAAAGATAATGAATCACTCTAAAGAGGCACCATCAACCATTTTCCACAGCCTTTTTTGAAGAGAAATATTTTTTATTTATTTCTATGTTTGGGAACATTTTCTGTGCATAAAAAATATGTTTAATAACCCAAATTATTTTTATTGCCATCAAGAGAGAATTTATAATTAATAAGTAGTGTGTGTTTGATTCTGATAACTTATGTAGCACTGATACTGACACGGGACACGTGAGACGATACGACACGACATTCTGACATGTTAATTCTAAAAAATATTAGATTTCGACACGTTACGACACGTTTTAATATTAAATAATATTTTTAATTTATGTAGTGTATATTATATTTAATATTCAATAATTTAACAAAAAAATGAAACTAAACTTATAATATTCATCAATTTTGCAAAGAAACATAAGATATTTCAGATATTTATATTAAACTCAATAAAATAGTAATCATAATCCAACGAATCTAATAGTTGAAACTAAAAACTCAACGCAACGCAACATTTGAATCTTTTTTTGAATTTTTATAACGCGTGTTGGAGTGTCGGGGAGTGTCGGAGTGTCGAGAAGTATCGAACACGACACGTCAGGATTTTTGAAGTGTCGGTGCTTCATAGCTGAGAACACATTCTACTATATATGTATTTGATAAATAGTGTGCCACATAACTAAAAAAGAAAGAGAAAAATTTATTAACATCCCACCTAAGGGTGTTCTATTACACCGGTAAATTCCACAGCTGACTCACAAATATACGTACATTCATTCAAACGCAAAGATTCCAAAATACTCTAATTACAAGATTTATGAAACTCTCAAAATGCAAACAGTTGCAAATACACCAACAAAACACTGGCACAAAAGCATTCCTCCTTTGTATATACAAATTCACTTGTTACTGGGGCTGGTACCTTTAGCTTAGTATCCTAAAATAAAACTCCAACGGGATAAAATGTGAATTCCATTAAATTGTAAAACTGACTACCATACTCTACAGTGATTCAAGGGCCTGCCTTGATTAATACTATATTTTAGCAAGTAAGCAAGCATATATAGCTTCACAAAACTCAGAGAAAGATCATGTACACAAATATAATATTGTTAGTCATCTAAAGCTATTTTATGGGTTTTTAGACCCCATATAAGCTATTGTATGTGTCTGTCCCTTATGGACTTATAGATATATAGTGAGACGTCCCTCACAGTTGTAACTATAACACCTGTATAGGTATTATGTCCATAACTTTATTTTATATATATATATATATATATATATTTTCAGATCCTTATCATTTCTATGCAATGTAATGAGTAGACAATGAGGATTCTATATTTTCTGTATTCATTTTAAAAACAAAAGCCACTTACTTATTTGTAACGGCATCAGATGTTATATCCTTTCATAAATTTCTTATCCTTTTGCTAAATTACCCTCATCCTCTTTATTCCTTAAATCAAAATTAATACTAATGTGAGATATATATAATTCTTAGGGGGGGAAACCCTAGAGAGATAAGACTTAAAGTTTCAGGATCCAAAAGTTTTATCAAGTAAATATAATTTTATTAATTCACTTAAATAGTGCCTTACAAAGGCTTAGATTATTGATCATAATGCAATGTTGGGACGAAAATCAGCTAACACGCCTGCAGATATTGATCCCGTCACCTATTGAAACAAAAGCAATTTCAACACGTGAATCCTTTGAAATGGCTTTGTTGAATGCAAGTGCATACTGTCTCCATTCTATTTTTGGTTCTGAAACTTTCTTTTCAGGCAAGGCAACAGTTCCTCCCTAGAGTGTGTTATCATAGGCAATTATCCCACCAATCTTAAGCAATTTGATAAGCCTCTCATGGTAATTCCAATAGTTATTTTTGTCAGCATCAACGAAGGCAAAGTCAAAAGCCCCTTCATTTACAGGCTACAGCAAAAGAGAAAAAATTCACACTCAGGACTTGCCATGTAATAGTTTCAAAGTATTGTGGAGATGCTTACATCTAAGAGTTCATCAAGAACTGGCAAAGCCAGAGACTCTATGAAGTCAATCTTGTGTTCTACACCAGCCTTTTCAATGAATGGCACTCCTATCTCATAAGCTTTTTTGCCGGGATCCACGACTATGATCTACAACAAGCATATAATTGAATTGAGTTAATAACACCAAACACGTGGATAAACTGATAAGAGGTTGTTTCAGCTTAATCAGTGATCTTGAATTTGAATTCAGTTGTATTAAAATCTTCGTAAAGAAAGCTTTGTTGCCCTTGTAATCCTTTTCGGCTCGAATTGAATTAGTTGGATTGGATAACTTCTATCTATCTATATAGATAAAAGTTATCTAATATCCAATTCGAGTTGAAAAGTACCACATGGGGCGGCAAAGCTAACAGAAAGCATATGCAAACCTTTCCATCCTCAGGAATGTTAAGTGCAGTGAGGAGAAGAGAGTATCCAGTGAAAACTCCAACCTCAATTGTCTTCTTAGCATTAAGAAGCTTCAAGAGGCAAGGCCATTAGCTAACCCGCATCAGGTGTTGTGCCCATGAAGCCCCTGATGAATGAAAATGATATTACATTTTACATATATAAACAAAGTTCCTAATTGATGTTAGATACATAATGGTGTTAATGTCAATGTTTGTTAAGGTAGAACACTAAAACTGTGTTAGAAAGAAGAATTACATAGGGTGGCATGCAGTGGCATTCCTTAGCTCTTTCAGAGTCTCTGGTTCTCGTGGGTAAACGCTGGTCTCCAGTATATACTGGCATATAATTGTTGCCTCGTTGGGTTAAGTAGGAAAAATGAATCCAAGAATCTAAGCATTGTAGTATGGAGACAATGAAAATGTCAAGAAATTTGTTTATATATAAACCTTCAGTAAGCCCTGACTCTGCAATATGAGTGGATTGGGAAGAACTCTTGGCTTTGATATATTATCCATTCCTCTTAAACGCATACACGTTATGCAGGCATGCTCATCAGTGAATGCATTGGTGTGGTGGCATATACAAAAGAATGGGTTGAAAAGGAAGCCACACCTGAATTGTAAGCAAGTTTTTTAATGAACATGAATTGCTTCTTTTTGGATCTTTCAGGCGAAGAATGCTTTTTATTTTCTTTCTTTCCTTTTTAGTGTACCGACATTAATGCGTTTCGATCTTGATGCTTCTTTAAGGGAACCGATATTTGCTCATGTATCACCATCTTTTCATGGTTTTCAAAGACACTTAGGACACATGATTTTAATTTTTCTTTTTATAATTTGATTATTATAATGTTTTAAACAAACCCTCCTTATCTCGATAGGAGTCCTGAAATAAAGATGTACCAAAAATGAGATAGTTAAACCTATGCTTTGACTGGAATCTATACAAGAAATATACATTTATGAATCTGTTGATATTTTTAGTAGTAAAAGAAGCAAAGACTGTTTCTGCAAATCTGCAAATCTGCAAGAATTATGAAAAGTTAAAAATGGGAACAGAGGTACCAAACTGAATTAGATTACAATCACTGATTTTTTGCAACATCACAACATTTATAACATAAAATAAACTGCTTACTTGAAGTAACTACCCACTAAACATAAAAAAGAAAACTACCCACTTCAGAACATGAAAAGAAACAACCCATTACATAATGAAAAGAGGAAAATAACTTAAAATAATTTCCTCCACAGTCCACACAATACATCTACACTAACAGCTCCTGAGCATGTATTCTGACAGAATCTATATTCTTCAAGTAACAGGAAGCTAAAGTCACGCATCCATATGTCCAACACACATGCTGTAGAAGAATGATAAACTATAAAGACTAGGCACGTGACGTGTCACTATGTTGCTATGCAAGCAAATGAAATTTTATTGAGGACCCTTAAGAGAGAGGAAGTAGGCAAGGAAGGAATCACAGTCGGGTAGCTTTGGATGAACATGACACGACTTCTCCACAGAGGGAATATCCCCGTGAGAATTTAAAGATTTTGAAGCCTCTTCACTATATGGTATCATTAATTTAGGTGGAGAACTAGAAGGTTGCACCCTTGGAGATGATATTATAATTTCCTCACTTGAAGACATATTTTTAGGTTCTGAACCTGGCTTAGATGCTACATTTTCTGCTGATCCATTCTCATAAGAAACCTTGAAGGCCTTCTGATTTTTACTCTCATAAGAAACCCTTGAAGGCTTCCATCCAAGTCCTGTACCAACCGTTTTAGAAGCCTTGGATAAAGCATCATCCTTCAAACTTATGCGTGTACCAGTTTTTGAAGGAACAAACGTCCTTACAGAAAATCCACCAACGGGACAGGTAAGACTGACTAAATTTTGTTTAGGAAGTCCATCCTCAGAATCACTGGTATCAGAATCAAGGTATGCATTTGAGGCCCTTGAGCTTGGTTTCTTGTTTGCTTCACTTTTCCCTTTCTTAATGTGAGGGTTATTGGTACTGGTCTTTGCCTCTTGTAAGTTATTATGAGTATATATTTCAGCCATTCCAGAAACATTGGGAAATGGGTTATCATCACGAAATGAAGTGTTAGATGTCAATGAAGCTGGATGGTTTCGTTTCACCACATTTTCATTACTATTGGTGCAATACTCTCTGAGGTTAAAGGTGCTATTAACAGAACCTGTAGAAAGATGTTTGTCAGCATGAAAAGTATATTCTTGAGGTATTTCACCTCTAAACCCGCTGCCAGAAGAACTCTGCGATCCACTTGAATACTGCCTTGTTAACTTTTCACGGTTGGAAAGTTCTAAAGCTGCTCTTGCAGCCATGCTTGCACGTTCTGCAGATTCTACAGCTGCCTGTGCAGCAGAGACAGCATCCTTGAATTCCATATTCCAATTCTGTCTATTCATAGGAAAAGCACTCATGCTTTCAGGATATGAATCTCTAAAATCCATTTCTTGACTTCCAGTTCCTGTAACAATCAACCCCGAATATCCAGTAACATAATTACCATCTTCAGAGAAGATAATTCTCATGAAGTGATTTTAAAAAGTTACCTGAAGGTCTGATTTCTGGACTAGACCTGTCTGATTTTGTTGATTGATCGCCACCAGTTTTTCTAGCAGCAAAAAATGCATTCTGCTCACATGAATTTGAAGATATATCATGTATTTCTTTAAGTTGATAAGAAGCACGAAAATCAGGAGGTCCTTTTTCATCACGAATATGTGGAACATGGAGTTGAGGAGGTTCAACATAAGTAGCCTTCTCAAAAGTATTTGGTCCAACCTTAACATATAAATAATGTTAAAAATAATAAAATACAGCATATTGATACAACAAACTTATATTTCTATAATGATATAAAATCAATCGTAGATCATCCATAATGAACAAAGCCTACCAGCAAATCATGAGACGAATTCACATCATTTTCTTCTAATGATGGTTGCCATTTGACATTATGCTCTTCAGCAATTGCACTCAGTATTTTGATCTTGGTTGGACCGTCGGGTGCTTTGGCAGACAATTTCTCCACCAACTGTAAAGACAACATTAAATTAGGAAGGAAAAAAAAAAGTGACTATAAATGAGATTTAACATGATCCTTCCCAACTTCAAGCAGGTAGAGAAACTTGCCAAGTGATTTACACCACAGTCAGGGCGTAATTCAAGAGCGGCTGAGACAAGTTCTTTTCCATACTTAGCCTTAATTTGCTTCCTCACATCCATGAGCTCAGGTATATCTAAGCATCTTGTAGATGCAAATATTACACTTGAAATTGCTTCCTTCAAATCAATGGGGCAGTATCTGAAGACAGAAAAAAAGAAAAGAAAAAAAGAAAGAAAGAAAGATCAACAATGACAATGCACAATCATAATGAATTAGTCTCTAGATTGCAAATATTAATAGTTTCGGAAAGAAAAATCCTCATGCAGTACTTACTCCCTTAAGACACACACAAGTAAGGCCAAAGCGCATGATAAATATAAGTACAATCAATCTCGAAAAAAAAAAAATATATATATATATATATATATATGACTTTAATAGTTATCATGTCGCTCGAGATCAGAAAATTTGCAGCAACACTTACTTCTACTAGGATCCGGTTTCGTATCTTGGAAATTTTTTTTTTTTTAATTTCAGGATCCGACTCCGTATTTTATGTAAATATATTTGCTGCAAATTTTTCCATCAGCAATGACAGCAGAAATGAGCAACCCATATATATATATACGTATGATAATCCCTCTAAATTAGATAAAAATCCATATGTTAAATATGAAGACACATGCTGGAGTTGTTTAGGTGAGTTTCAAATACTTTTGTGATTCAATCACCGGCAAGCGTGCAGTAATAAGCTCGCAGTATATCTGAATAAGATCATATGCTACCATCTTCTTCTCTTCCGTGACAACTTGTTCAACCTGAATGCAAAATAGGCCAAAATTCAAAAGAAAAAAAATACAAAGATGTTGTAACCTTTATTTAGCATTCATTACTTCCTTCTTACCAGCAAATTGTCCCCGCTTCAATTTAATCTAATCGGTTCTGTTTGCTTTATAATGTAAATTTGATTTAATTCAACCCAATTCAATTAAAATCATTTAGATTAAGTCTGTTATCATTTTTTTTTATATAAATTTAATCTCATTAAATTACATTAATATAAGTCTAAACTAATTCATCAAAATACAGATATACAGTACATATAAGTTTAAATAAATTTATTATAATTTCCTAAATTATATATCAAAATTCTAAATATAATTATTAGAGATATATAAAATCATTAATGTAACCTCAACCAACAACTTAAGTTTTTGGATTGAATGGATTCTTTATATGATATCTGAGCCCTTATGCAACAGGTTCAATCCTCAATACCCCTCATTTAGTTAATAATTAATTAAGTCTTGTGAAATTTCTTAGCACAGGTACGTAAGCATATGCATTATCCACCTTTCAAGCCAGTCGGCTTTCGTGTGAGGGAATGCGTTAGAGATATATAAAATCATTAATGTAACCTTATCCAACCGCTTAAGTTTTGAGTTGAATTGGTTATTTACAATAATTAACTGTGGATATAATAATAGAAAATTAAGTTTTACTTAAAATACAATAAATAAATTCATAAATAAATGTGAATGATATGAAAAAAAAAATTTAGCACTTCATTATTTTTAAAATATATGTATAAAATTTCAATTTAATATGGATTAGATCGGCTCGTATATTTGGATTGAATAATCGAATTAATTTTTATTTAGTTTCTGAATTTATTACCTGGACTCTAGCCGCGGCGTAGTTATGGGGAGACTGAAGCAACTGGGCCAATTCCTTCCGAAGCTGCTTCACATGGGCTTCTCTCTTATTCTTCAAAAGCTTTATCCGTGAAATCGCAAGCTTCAATGCAGTTTTGCTGCATCAAATAAATCAAATTCAAATCTATACATACTCTCTCGATTCTCGAATCATCGAAACCTTCTCCACTGATGATACATAAATCAATAAAATAAAAATTTAAGGGAAAAATAAATAAATTCAATAGTTTCGTACCACTTTGAGGACTTGAAGCTTCCACGACCTAGCATTGCTTGTAAAAGCATAACACAAAACTTGAACGAAGTAGAGGGACTCTGATTGTTTGTGTCTCTGAAGCGTAACGACTATTGGATTTTATGAAGAAATTTTGATGTCTCCGTTTAATTGGACCTTTGCATAAATCAAAGGGTACGATAATTTTTTCTCCATTTTTTCCCAATTAAAGTTTAGGAGGAAGAACTACTCTAAGGACATGATTTCATGACGATATGATATAATAAAAGCTTCAAATCTTTTTAATAATGATAACACAAGCTTCACAGCGATACTGATAACAAAGTTTCCTAGCACTAATCAAACTCAAATTCTTTTTATTAATGTTATTTGATAATGATAACCTTAACCGTTTTCTTTTTCCACTGTTAAGAGTGATTCTGTTTGAAAAAGATAAGGTGAATGGAAAACAAATCATAATGTAAATAAGTAAATCAGTCTTTTTTTTCAAATATTAAATTATTAAATAAGTCTACTATTCATGGCTGACTACCATCTTTTAGTTGTTATCCGTTTTCATTCATTATGTAATAACTAGTCACTAAGAAAACAGAGTAGTGATAAATAATTATGTATTAAATAATTAATGAATATTAGTGTAAAAAAATTTAACATTAACGTTTTACACTTATTGTGCGGCTTTTTCATTGCCCCTTATTAATTAATTAATAACCATTTTCTCCTGATTTGAAACTATCTATTAATCTGCCCCTCTTTAATCGACTACCTTGCATTTTTAATCGACTAAATGGTCAAAACAGACAAAAAATGGCTGTTGGGAGATTTAGTCGACTAAATCTCTCTATTTAGTCGACTAAATCTCCATATTTGACAAAAAAAAAAAAATAAGTCAATATGATTTTAATCGATTAAGTAGGGAGATTTAGTCGATTAAATCTCCCAACAACCATTTAGTCGATTAAATATGCAAAGTAGTCGATTAAAGAGGGGCAAAATGATTATTAATTAATTAATGAGGGGCAAAATGGTCAAATAGCCCTTATTGTGCATATAATCAAACTTTGTTAATCATATTAATAAATTTGCAAATAAAAAAGGATTAATATTTCTCCAAAAACAGAAAATATAATTATTTCTAACAATTCCAAAACAATGTTGTTTTGAGATTTGAAAAAAATTGCAAGGTATTTTTCATAAAATTTATAATACAAAAAGAAAATAACATTTCTAAAATATCTTCTTTTCTTTTTTTTTCCTAAACCCAAAAATGAATTGTTTTAGAGTCACAAAAGATAAATTTCATCTCCTGTTACAAGAAAAATAATTTTTTCATAAAAAAATTATATATTTTATAGCTCATAATTTATGAGGACTGAACTATAACGATTCTTCTTTGACACATGTCAGCATTAGATGAAGAATCTAGCCTCACCTCGCCGGCAGGCATCCCATCCCTCTCACATGTCCTCTCCCCAGTTGGATAACTGGACCGACCACCAAACTTGGGATTTTGAATTCAAACTACGAAACGAATATTGTATTACACCCACCCTTGTTGCATAAGTAACAAAAAAAGGTATAATAATGATTGATTTCAAAAAAAAAAAAAAAAAAAAAAAAAAAGGTCTTGCGTTATTGCCTCAACCTCAAGTTTTCTTATTTCATATATTTAGTTAACTGACGGTAAATGTGAATGGAGGGCCAGCAGCGTGACTAACTAGGTAATCATCCAATGCCAATCTGTATTGGTTTAAGTGCCTCAATGAATCTGCTTAAGGCCAAGTGCTCTTCTCAATAATCTTGTTCGCTGATCATTCATCTTCCGAAATATCTAATGCCATTCAGGGACTATGAATAAGTAGCATTTTCTGAGCACAAATTCTATGAGTATCCCCAATATAATTTTCTAAATAAACCTTTTCCTATCATTCAGAATCCCAGACAAGCAAACATACCTCTAACACCCTATAAGATAATATTAAAGTAACTTATTTTACTTATCACAAAGGACGTTCCTAAAAAAATCTACCTTTCCATATTTCTTAACATGTGCTTTATGCAAATTGATAATGCACAAATTAAACGAAGAGATCACAAGAAACGGATTATATTAATTCAGAAGTTTATTTTTCTTTTCTGTCAGAGCAAGTTATTTCGTACAAAAGAGGTAAAGGTGGTTCTGAAAATTCACAAACACCTCAATTCTTGGAGGATACTGCACTTGGGTGAGCGAGGAAAGCTATGTAGACCCTCGAGACCGAGGCCACTCACAAACTTGAACCCATTTCTTTACGTCGTAGGCTTGTAGCGGTCTTTCATTTCACTTATATTTATCATATTAAAATATCAAAGAACAGAAAGCCCAACGATTGCTAATTCGCTACTGGTAAACAAGCTTGGACTTCTTAATAAATTATACCCCACAAAAAGCACTTACTTTGCTGAACATCAAGTTTTCATGTGCCCAGCCCAAATTCAACAACAGGCCCAAAAAACAATATGGAGATTCAACAATTTTTTATTCTCATTTTAATATTTTATGTGAACCTAAATTAGTAATATCATTTTAAAAAAATTATAACAAAAAAATACTAAAAACATTGCAGGGGCATGTTCATTGTCGAGTACCACCACTAACTTTCCAACATGACAAGAGAACAACACAATGTCCGTCCCGCTTCAAATACAAGGGGTTATTGAGGCTTGTCATAGCCACTAGTTTCTCAACTTTTTTCCCAAAAAAAATTCAGAATAACACAAATTGCTTTGCAGAATGCCCATAATCCATAAAATGTATAAATGACCAGAGCAGATGGCTTTAGGAGTATATAGCCCTGCTAAAACCTACACTTTCAAGTGGTTATTGTCAGACATTATAACCGGTGAAAGTAAATCCCCTTCCAACAATCTCACCAGCACAAAACCATGCAAAGCACTCCAGGCCAAACAAAGCAGCGCTACCTACATCTTCAACCTTCAACTCTTGCCTATTTTTCCATGAATGCTTGGCATGATCAAGTTCCTTCCAGAAGGACTCATAACGACCCGGAATACTGCAAAAGATTGAAGTTACATATAGTAGCAGAAGCAGCCAAAATTAAATGGCATAGAACAGACTATTGCAAATTATAGACAGTTTATACATATATATTCATCTATAATTAGCAAGTGTCTGACATTTGACCATTCAGAATCCACTATATCATTGCTTAGCTAATTCACTAAGGATGGTAGTGAAGACAGGCTGACATAATCTGAAATGCAAGTCTGATTCGAAGATCATATTGGAATGAAACACACGCATTGACATATGCAAATAGCTACCAAAGTGAGGGAAGGCAGCATAGGCTGCCAGCGCAAAAAATTTAAATAACAATAGAAGTGAGCTTCAGCACATAAACAACAAGCAGCAAGTTGTTGTGACATTGAAGTTGGGTGGAAATTTATGAGCTAAGGTTACTTTGTTATCAATAGTAACATGATTACATCAACAAACAAGGAGCTCTACACAAATAATGGTGCTTATAGATATCCTCAAAAGTAGAGGTGACAAAACGGGTTTGACCAATTAAGTCAACCCACCTGACCTGCCTAATTTGGCAGGTTGGGTTACATTTTCTAACCAGCCCCGCTTAAAGGGTGTTGGATAATGGTTGACCCAACAAGTTTTTTTAACCTTAATTAGGTAATTTGGGTAAAACATCTCACTCAATCTTTCTCTTTGATTCTCTTTCTTCATTTTTCACTATAGACGAGTTAACCCGCCAACCCACCTCAAGATGGGTTGAGATTTTCAACCTATTTTCAATAGCTGGGGCAAAGCGGGTTAACCAGTTTTATGGCAGGACACCGACATTCCCACTCCTACTCAAAAGCACATTATGAGCTGCCCAAATTCAAGGCATACAGTCAAACCATACTACGATGGATTATGGAGAAACTTCAAAATGTAAAACATTCAGTGGCAACATCGACATCAACAACACCTTTATCCCAAATTAATTGGGGTCGGAGGTAGATGAACCCAAATAAAAGATACGAAAGGATTGAAAAAATATAAAAAATAAAAATAAATAAATAAAATAGTAAATATATATATATATGAGGGAAGATATTCTTACTACTAAAATTTTCTACTACTAACTTACTACCTATCTAATCACCATTGAATCAAAGAGAGAGAATGCTACAAAGTTTTGGAAAAAAGAGAAAATGTTGATCCAATGGTGATTAGATAGGTAGTAAGTTGGTAGTAGAAAATTTTAGTAGTAAGAATGTCTCTCCTCTATATATATATATATATATAAAAGTGATAAAAGAAGGGGAAAAGAAGAAGAGAGGGGAGATGAAGAGGAAGAAGGACTAAAAAGGGACCATCTGGAACATAGGAATAACAACGGGTCTAACCATCCACCATGCTTATAGCTTTTCTCCATTTCGTTCTAAGGCACACCGTCCGCCAATCTATATCCCAATCCATTAAGTCTTGCTTTATTACCTTCCCCCAAGTAAGTTTCGGTCTACCTCTACCTTTCTTTGTGTTGAGCTCTTGGTAACAAACTTTTGCTCTTACGGGAGCATCTAGGGACCTTCTCATTACGTGCGCAAACCACCTCAATCTATGTTCTCTCGTTTTTTCAGCCACCGGTAGTACTCCTACCTTTCGTCGAATATCTTCATTTCTCATCTTATCAATTCTCGTATAACCACACATCCACCTTAACATCTTCATCTCTGCTACTCCCATTTTATGCTCATGTTGCCTATGTGCTGGTCAACATTCAGCTCCATATAGCATTGCAAGTCTTACTGCTATTCTATAGAATTTTCCTTTTAGCATAAGGGCATTTTGCGGTCACACAAAAACCCAGATGCACTACGCCATATCATCCACCCTGCTCTGATTCTATGATTTAGAATGGCGGTCAAATATATTGATTAAAAATGTTGTTCACTGACAACCATTCCATTTTTCTTTAAAATTCAGAAGTTATTTTTTAAGACCTTATTTTGAGGCTACAACTACAATTCAATGCATTTCTAAACTGCCAAAGCACTTCGTTGGAAAAACAAAGGATGCTAGAGCTATATCTTTTTGAACAAATAAAATCTCTAGGCACAACTGTTAATGGAATGTAAGAAACAGTGGTCTACACTTGGCAGAATTTTACTTGAGCATGTTATGTTCAGCCAGTTCAGGTCCTATTAAGGGGTTTGGAAACCTCTGGAAGTAATTATTCTGGGTAATTAACATGTACGTAATATTTTGCAATACATTCAGTTGAAGGAACTTTTGGTGTCAATCCAAATTGGTTTACTATGTTAGGCATGCAAGAATAAATTTAGCACCAACAAAATGCTGATAACAAGCACCGGACATCAATCAGTATGCCCATCTACGGAAATTATTTGATGCAATGCCATGCCATTCTAAGGCAGTTCAGAACAATATTTAGTAAAGTATATTTTGAATTTATCTTCCGGTGGTTGTTTAAAAGATAAAGGGGGCGAACTAGAACAGTGATAAAGCTGTTCTTTCATGACAGAAAGATCATGGGTTCAAATCCAGAAAACAGCCTTTTTTCAATTATGTAAGGGTAAGGCTGCATACAAAGATTACCTCCACCCCGCACTCGCTAGTCGGGTTTAACGGAGAGTGGTTGGTTGTTTAAAAGATAAGATCACAATTCTGATTATCTCTGATTTCTGTCTGAGCTCTGAGGTAGATTTCCTCCCACACAAACCCTTATCCCAGATACCCACCCAGCCTATCCACGTATTCCCTTTTCATCCAGCCCTAATTCCAAACAAATTCCTGGGCTGCGTCATACTGGCACTTCAATGCCGAGAAAGGAATAATGTGGATTACATGATCATCTGTCCATTCTTTTTAAATAACTAGCAAATACTAATCTAATACAAAATTAAGATGCAAGACTTGACGGCCTACTTTGATTTTCAAGTGTCGGTACCAAAAAAATGACTGAACAGTCAGTTCAAAGCTTGAAATCTCGCCCTTCAGGGCTTCCTCCCTTGTCTACAGAGGGGAAGGGAGGAGCTATTAGACATTTAGACATGACCAGCAACATCAAAGTGTAATAAAGAATGTTAAAAAAACTATTTGAAATCAATAACAAGCATATAGAATTAGAGAATGTTATACAGTGAGTCCAGCCAGAGACATTTTCAAGAAAAAAAAAAAAAAAAACAAGGACAGAGAAAATATAACCTAGCAAGGCGGGTGTAAAACAATTGCTTCGCCAATAGGTTGCATTTCTCTACTGTAGGAGGCTCCTGAATGTATTGCTTGTTCTCCTCCAACAACTGCTTGTAGTAAACAGTTCCATGCTTGGTTACAAATTGGGATGCTTGACATGCTTTGGACTGCAACTGCCGCAACTTTGACGCCATCAAGTCTGGAAGTTGATCAGAACAAAGCCCTGGACCAAAAGAAAAAAGCCAATGTAGAATAAGGCATCAGGTGAACAGTATATAACATTCCTAATCCACATTTCTTATTTTAAACCCCGTAAATTCTGCTACTCACGGATAATATTCAGGATACAAAGAAAATTCATTACAAAAAGGCCTAATCTTCAAGTAATATTTACAATACAATATGATGGATTGTAGCTAGTTGTTACCTTGACCATTTCTATTCATTGATATGAAATGCATCGAACTTCAATTAAACAAATATATATGAGAAAGAACAGCCTCAGCGCATGAAACACAAAGGTTTTGTTTCTTAAATAAATCCCATTACAACAAACAAATCTATTTATAAATAAACCTGTTTAAATTCTGGAAACAGCAATGGAATAAGATAAGAACTCAAGCAACGACAGCTCCAAGTTTCCTAAAGAGATTGTTTGGCAAATCTATATATACCTGAATGGAAAATTGGGTTCCGGTGCTAAGTCAAAACCCTAAATGTTCAACCTTTTTGCGTTATGACACTAACAAAACAAAACAATAAATGAAAAGTTGAAAACTAATTTATGGAAATAAAAAAAATAAAAAACATGTATTTTAGTTTAGTAGACGAAATGGTAGGAAGTAGAGTATCAGAATGAAGATCGAAAAAACGAGAGAGACAAGATCTGAAGAGGAAAAGCAAAAACGAATAACTCAAAGTGTAGTGATCAGGAATGAAAGAAAGAGGAACAAAAAGAATAGAAGGGGAAGGAACATTACCTTGTTGACTAGACGAATGCAGTAATCGGAAATTGGTTGAGATTGGCCTCCGTCGCCGCCGCCGCTACCTTGCGACGCTGCAAGTACCAAGTACGCTCTTTCTTCTGTGTTTCTGGGAAGTCTATTAGCCTTGTGCCTTCTTTTCTATTTTCAATTTTTTTTTTTTTTTTTTTTTTTTGTCTTCTCTCTTGATTGAACAGTTTGGTCTGGACTTGTTTGGATATACTCTAAATCAGCACAGTCCATGACCTGTTTAAAGCCCATGGAATTATAATTTTTTATTATTTTTATTATTGACCATAATTTAAAGATATATTTTCTTTGCACCTACTTCTTTCTTTTATTTATTTAATTAAAAAATTATTAATAATAATCATTTATTTGAAGGGATTGATTTTTATTTTTATTTTAGATATAACAAGTACATGTTTGGTAGGTCTTTTTCTCACTTCTCCTTTCTTTAAAAATAAAAGTTTAACCAAATATAATTTTTAAAAAAATTATTATAAAAAACATTTTATAATGAATAAAAAAAGAAAAAGTTAACAGTTCTCATAAGGAATTTTTTAAGATATATATCAAATTTCTTGAGTCCTTATATTTATTTTTCAATTTTCTCCTTATTCAAAATTTGTATTCATAGATTTTATCATGTACTCTTATAATTTACCTTAATTATAAATTATTCTATCTTCCTCTTTAAATCCTGAGAAAATCTTTCTATAATAACCAATAACTTTTATCTTTATTTTTTAATTTTTTTAACTTTAAATTAAAAGTAGTTTGTACAAGTCAAATAGAGTCTAAAATTATTTATGTGCCTTCACTAAATAATTTAATCTTTTTTGAAGAGTTAATTGCATAATGACTAAAAGGTCTAGAATTCAATCTTTGCCACCCACTTTCTTGTGGTAAAAAAATATAGAAAAAAGTTAAAATTTAAGCATGAGATAATAATTTAAAAAAAAACTTAAAAAGTTATTGTGTGCATAATTATATTTAAATTATGAGTTTAATATTTTTCCTACAATAATTTTTTTTATAGACAGAGCCAGAAAGGGGATTGTGTGGGGCCCTTTTATATTTTTCTTTATCTTTTCTTCTCAAGTAGGGATGAAAGTGGGTCGGCCAGCCTATAGGGGCCCACAACCTAGCCCAAATCATGCAAGATTCGCCAACTATATATAGGTAAATAGAACAAGCCCACACTTTTAAGAAAGCCTATTTAGGAAGAAGGTCATAGGCTTTTTTTATAGGTCGATCTATATTGTATTATTTATTTTAAATAAAATAAAATAATATTATTCATGGTAGTACCAAATGGTGATAGCTTAGTTGGTGCATGTGAGCTGAGTAGGTGGTGGAAGGATCTAGGTTCAATCCCTATCAATACCATCTTTAAGAGGGGCGTAAGATCTATACCAATCTCTACAATAACATCAGAATCAACATTTAGTGATGGAGGAAGAGAAATTGATGTTTATCGTTCTATCTTGGCATAGGATACCATCCAAGCTTAAATATGTGGTGGAGAGATTGGCTACGTAATAAGTATAGCGGCTTGAAGACAAAACAAAAGGTATAAAAAGATTTTTTGTTTCTTAATCTTATTTTCTTTCTATTCTTTAATATTGTTTTTCGATTTCTACATATTCAAATTGTTTGCCAACTTATGTAACCTTGAAATTGTATTTACTCGGGATAGAAGATGATGAAAAGTTTTTGGCTACTACAAGCATCATGATGTGTTTGTAGAATTCATAAAGTTATTTTAATTTACATAGTATGGATTTGCTTGTTGGATCTGATGAAATATATGTTATTTAGTTTGAATATTTTGCTTTTCAAGCGACTTAAATAGAGATTGTGATAAGTTGTTGTGATTCATGGTTCTGTTGGGACGTTGAAATTGTTATTTTTGTTTTAACAACAGAATTTGAGTATTTTGTGAAGTTAATTCATGGTTCTGCTTGGAAGTTAAAAATTAACATGCTAATAGGTCAGGTCAGGCCATTTAGTTTTTTATAAATGTGTCAGGTCAGATTAACAGTTGGACTCGTATTATGATATCGAATCAGGTCAAATTGAAATTTTTTGACATAAATTTAGACTTTTCGAGATAAAGCTCAGCCTAGCCCACTTTCAGCCCTACTGCCAAGGCCTCACCCAACCAATATTTTCAAGAAGAAAATTAAACCCTTATATTATATATATATATATATATATATATATATATATATATATATATATATATATATATTTCAATATTTTATTATTATAAAATTATTTCAAACAAAATTAAATAAATTATTTCAATATATCAAAATTAATTTTTTTTTGGAAAAAAAAAATTACGAGTTTGCCTAATGCTGACAAATCAAATGAATTGTAAAATAAAATAAACTTTTATTTTAATTAAAAAAATATGCCCTATTAAGAGTTTATATTTTATATCTATATAAAATTTCATTGTTATGCATTTAATATTATTAATAATTATTTTTTTTGGTGAACTTATTATTAATTATTTAATTATCAAGTAAATTGTGAAGTTATCTTAAATTTAAAGTAAATGATGAGTTATTAAATATTCACTATGTGAAAATAGTCTTGTTTAATAAAATTGTAAGAGAAAAGGAAAAACATAATTTAAATTTAATTATAAAATTTTTCAAAAGAAATAAATAAAGATAAAAAAATTATATATATTTTGTGTGTTATTAGAAGTTCACTTAATGTACTAACATAACTTATAAATAGATAATTTTTTTCTTTAAATTATGTATCTAAAATTAGAAAAGGCAGGTAAATATTGTTTCAAACAAACAAAACAAAATTAAGTAGTTAAATATATCAATATACAATAGGGGTGTTCATCCACCGATTCAAACCGCGATGACGATGACCAAACCGAAAAACCGATAACCAAATAAACCGAAAATCGAAAAAACAATAATCGAAAAAAAAAACCGCAATTTTTAATTGGATTAGATCGGTTTTCGGATTGGTTGATGAAAACCGATCCAGTATATTAATTTTTCTCTATCTACTTGGGTCTTTCCCCAATCATAATCCAAAAATTCCTAAACCAAAGATCCTTTAACCCATCAACAAAATTTCATCTTTGTAAAGCTTTATATCTCATTGCCCAAAAAAAAAAGCTATATTATCTTTTTGTATTTCAAAAAAATAAATATTCAAAGTCAATATGTACAAAAGATGTTATTTGCACAATAATCTTGAAACAAATTTTAAGATTTTCAAAAAATCGAAATTTGATCTAAACCAAACCGAAAAAAATTAGATTGGATTGAATCGGATTTGAAAAAAAATCTAAAGCGAAGAGATTGGATCGGATGATTTTTGCTTCCAAAACTGATCCAATCCAGACCGCGAACACCTTTAATATACAGAAAAATGTTTCCGCAGTTACTGCATATAAGTTATCTGCATTTATTCCAAAAACGATGTCATTTTGATTTTAAAATATTAAAAAAATTATAATTATAAAGACTATTATAACCCTGAAATAAATTAAAATTACAAAAATACATTGATTTTCGTCCTAAAACGATGTCGTTTTAAGCTCAATGCAGATAACTTATCTGCATTAAGTGCAGAAAAAATGAACCCATCAATATAAATAGGTTTTAATGTTTCTATAGTTAATTTAGATAAATTATTTACATTCACTCCTAAAATGATGTTATTTTAGGTTGAAATATTAAAAATTATAATGAGAAAGACTATTATAATCCTAAAATAAATTATAATTATAAAAATACATTAATTTTCATATCAAAATGACATTATTTTGGGATCAATGTAAATAATTTCTCTACATTGACTGCACAAAAAATATTCTACATTTGTACAAAATATATAAGGGTTTATTATTTTTCCTACCACATGAGATAAAGTTACGTCGTTTTGAGGGTTAGAAACTCATATAACAAAGAAATAAACACTACAACAGAATCCATAATTTTAACAAAGAAGAGGAAGGATGTCTGAAGCCGTTTGACCAAGTGGTACACTTTCTTCTTTAGGGCTCTTTGATTTCTTGTTAAAATAATAGTTTGAATTTGATGATATGGAAGAAGAGGTAGGATATTAATATTATAAATTATTTCTTCTATCACTCTATTATCATTCTAATCATAATTGGATTAGATGAAAAGTTAAATGAAGAGAGTAAAAAGAAAAATAACTTTTAAATCCAATGATAATTAAAATGATAGTAAAAAAATTGGTAATATAAATATTCCAGGTCACGTAAGAAATGAACATAAGGAAAAATGCCATATTTTTTTATGCATACAATTGGCAATCGAATGGTCTTTTGAGCAGTTTGAAGTTTAAAGTTCAAAAGGAGTCTATCTATTAAATTTTTATGACTTTTCCAGCTTAAAAAACTGCGTATTTTAGTAGCTGTGTTCTTCTATTATTCATAAACTCTCGTTTAATTGTACTTTATTCATGCATCTCGCATGATAATTGTGTTTCGTTTGTTGCTTCTGCCGATGTGCTTCCGTAACATGCTAGTTTCTATGATGAATGATTGTGTTGACTGTTTTTTATTTGTATGATGGCCTCTCATGCTTGTAACTAAAATTTTGTAGGGGAGATCCAATTCCTGGCAAACTAATAGAGAAAATTTATGAATATATCCCTCCTCATTTTGAACGGAGGTTTCTTCTAAACTCCTACATTCCGAAATAATTTTTTATTAATAGATATGTTTGAGTAAGTTAAAAATTAAAAGATTAGTGAATCATGTCAGACTATTTTTTTTTTATAAATGAGTTAAGTCAGGTTAACAGTTAGACTCGTATTATATTATCGGGTCAGATCAAATTTGAATTTTTTAATATAGGCTTGAACTTTTTAGGATAAAGTTTGACTTAACCTAATCTACTTTTACCCCTAGCAATGATGATGTGGGATTTAACTATTTCATATTCTGTTGTCCTCGACAAACAGTGTTGATGAGAATTGAAGAGGAAATTTGGTAAGAAATACAAGCAAACTAGACCAATTGAAAAAGGACTAAGGCTGTCTTTGCGATCAAATTATTGACTTAATTCGAGAAGAAAATTTAGCTTGAATGTGTTACTTGGTTTATTTAAATGAATTAAATACCAGCTGACAAGTCATTAATTACTATGTTTTAAAAATAGTTATTGGACCGGAGAGTGCGATTGTATAGAAAATTTAGCTTCAATGTATTACTTGGTTCATTTAAATAAATTAAATACCAGCTGATAAGTGATTAATTACTTATGTTTCAAAAATAGTTATTGGATCAGTGAGTGCGATTGTATAGAAAATTTAGCTTAAATGTGTTACTTGGTTCATTTAAATGAATTAAATGCCAAGATTCAATCCACAAAAGAAGTGCTTCTTTTGTATTAAATTTGCATAATAATCTAAAACCTATGCCACACCTTCTTGACCCTTTCTATTGATCAATTCAACCACTCTTTTTCTTTTTTCTTTGTTCTTATTTTTTTATGTGTGTGTGCATATCTTCTATTAATTATGAATTGAAAATTTAAACCAAATCTTAATACCTGCCAAGTGATCCACAACGTCATTCGTTCCAACTTGATAAGGATTGAGATAAATAAGGAAAATTTATTATATATAGCATCCAAATGTTTGATCAACAAATTATTGTTATATAATTAACTATTAATTAATAATATATCTACAATTTAGTTAGAAGCATTTTTACATTAGCAAAGAATTAAAGGGTGGGCCAAGCCTAGTGGGATAAACATTGCTTCATTGGATACACACAGCAAATGGATACACACGCGCACACTCTCTCTCTCTCGTCTATAAAAGGAGATTAGGAGAAGCTAATGGCACTCTTATCTCACACTTATGTGATTCCCTAATTTCCATGCAATAATATCTGTTTCCTATTTCACTCATCAAAAGACTCTGTTTTTTGTAATCCAAAACCCACTTTTCTTCTGTTACCTTATTTCCCATTCATACCCTTCTCTACAAAATTAAAAAAAAGATCACGACAAAACTTCAGAGCTCAACGTCAACAATTCTTCGTGGTCTCTCTCTCTCTCTGGGTTTGTGCACAATTATCCCATACTAATCTGTAATTAATTTTCTTCTGGTTTTCTTTTGCTTTCTGTTTTGCAGGCAAGTGAAACTGAGGTCATATATGAAGAGGTATAATTAACACATATCTCTTAGTGTTTATTAGATTAATGCACCATTGACAAGATGTTCATATGACTCTCTGAACCAAGGAAATGAAAAATAAAAACAAGGGAAACCGAAAAAAACACTCCCCTTACAAAAGCTTATAGGGTATATCTTGACACGCTTTTTGGCAAAACATTTTTATGTCTCCCTTTGAACAGAACACAAAATAAAGACCAAGAAAAGCAAATCCCAAACAACCATGCTCCAAAGATCACTATGAACCTCATACCATGATGTGACGGATAAAATGAGTAGAGGACATCAATTTCAGATACCTCTTGCAAGCATTTCTTGGAATTCCAATAGAGACATCTCTTTCTGAATCCTTAAATCTTCATAAAACATGGAGATGAACTGTTCTGCCCTCTCATAAACCTGCAGCTGAGGTGAGTTAGCAACCACAACCCTCCATGCATCCTCAAGCGTTTCAATGACACTGCTTCCAATCACCTCGTTGCCAATGATTGTTTCCCCTTGTGCATGAGTGTAGTAGGCATGCACGTGCATGGAATCAGAAGCAGGTTCTGCAAAGAGGTCATCTATTGGTATGGTAGACATGTTGTTGCTATGAACATTGTAGTTAGAAGCAGCAGCAGCAAATGGTCTTGTAGCACGGCCTCTGGAGGGTAAAAGCCATGTAAAGGTGGCATTGATGGCTTTGATGTCTTTTGGAATGTTGAGTGTTTTGGAGAAACTCTTCCAAGCCTTCTTAGCAGTTTTAAGCTTCTTTCCTAGCCTCACCTGAGCCATCTCAACAAAAGTTTCTTGGTTGCGAAGTGAAGGAATGGATTGGAAGAAGGTATACTAAAAGCTTTGATGCACATTAGTTTGATATTTTTCCTATGGATTAGAAATAAAAATATATTTTATAGACAAAGCCACACAGGGGATTGCGTGGGGTCCTTTTTTATTTTTATTTATCTTTTCCTCCCAAGGACTCACATCCAATGCTATTAAAACCGGCCCGGTCATTGACCCGGTCGAGGTACTGGGTCACTGGTTCAATCAGTGGGTAACTGGTTCAACCGCATGAACCGGTAATTACATGGAATTTTTATAATTTATATTAAAAAATTATAAACATATTCATATATCTAAAAAAGATGATAAAAATTTCAAATATTATAATATAAAAAAATAATAAATCACATATTATTATCAAATAAAAGATCAAACAAAAATATAATGATCGTGATATGGGGCTTTGGTTAAGAAAACTATATCTCTAACAATAAATCAAATCAAAATTTTCTGCATAGTGGATAATTGAGATAATATTAGTGTTGTAGGTTCATAACTTATATAAGTCAATAAGAAAAAAATATTCAAATATGTCATTATCATTTTTTTATAAAAAGAAATTGGTTTTTTTTGGGACCAGGCCGGGTCATCGGTTTTCAGGAAAACCGACCGGGTCGGATCGGGTCACACCGGTTCTGATGCATGACCAGTCCGTTGCTTCAACCGGACCGGTTATATGACCGATTTACCGGTTCCCGGGTCGACCCGGCTGGGTCGGTCCAGGTTTCTTAACACTGCTCACACACACGTCAATATTAGCAAATAACTTTATTTTCTACTTGCAAGAAGAAAATTAAACCCTTATATTATATATATTTAAATATTTTATTATTAAAAAATTATTTAAAAAATTAAATAAAATATTTCAATATATCAAAATTAAAATTATGAGTTTGCCTAATGCTGACAAATCAAATGAATTGTAAAATAAAATAAATTTTTATTTGAATTAAAAAAATCTGACCTATTAAGAATTTAATTTTATATCTACATATAAATTTCATTGTTACATTTCAAAAAATATATTATTATGAATTTAATATTATTATTAATTATCAAGTTAATTGAAGTTATCTTAAATGAAAAGTAATTAATGAATTATTAAATATTCAGTATATGAAAATAGTCTTGTTTAATAAAATTGTAAGAGAAAAGGAAAAACATAATTTAAATTGAGTTACAAATATTTTGTAAAAACAGTCAAATGATCTCTCTCCTATATATATATATATATATTTTGTGTGTTTTTAGAAGTTCACTTAATGTACTAACATAACTTATAAATAGATAATTTTTTCTTTAAATTATGTATCTAAAATTAGAAAAAGTAGGTAAATATTGTTTCAAACAAACAAACAAAAATTAAGTAGTTAAATATATCAAAATAAAAAGGAAGGTTATCCTTACAATCTATTTTCGTTTACAACCATATTTTAACCATAGGCGTGAACTATTTGGCAGTGAGACAGTTGGTCTTGAATCAAAGTTGTTGAGAATGGGGCTATGCTTTATGGGAGAAGGCACAAGTGTTTGAAATTTGAGGGTTTTTTTTTTTTATGATTATGGGTTGGGGTTGGGGTACTATGGTTGAAAATGATTTGAAATTGTGGTAGGGCAATGTTCGCGATGTTGATGTGGGATTTAACTGTTTCAGATTCTCTTGTCCTCGACAAACAGTGTTGGTAACAATTGAAGAGGAAATTTGGTAAGAAATACAAGCAAACCAGACCAATTGAAAAAGGACTGAGGCTGTCTTTGCAACTTATGACCAAATCATTGAAAGAATTCGAGAAGAAAATTTAGCTTGAATGTATTACTTGATTCATTTAAATAAATGAAATACTAGCTGATAAGTCATTAATTACTTATGTTTCAAAAATAGTTATTAGATCATAGAGTGCGATTGTATAGAAAATTTAGCTTGAATGTATTACTTGGTTCATTTAAATGAATTAAATACCAGCTGATAAATCATTAATTACTTATGTTTCAAAAATAGTTATTAGATATGAGAGTGCCATTGTATATAAATTTTAGCTTGAATGTATTACTTGGTTCATTTAAATGAATTAAATACCAGCTAATATGTCATTAATTACTTATGTTTCAAAAATAGTTATTAGATCAGAGAGTGATTGTATAGAAAATTTTGCTTGAATGTATTACTTGGTTCAATTAATTGAATTAAATATCAGCTGATAAATCATTAATTACTTATGTTTCAAAAATAGTTATTGGACCAGAGAGTGCGATTGTATTATAAGAACACAATCGAATAGGTGGAACGGATTAAAATTTAATTAACATTTAAACTTACAATTCAGAAAGCAACATGGGGTGGAGAACAACAAAAGTTAACACTCAACCTAAATGACGCCAATAGGTAAAATCTCGCTATGCTTGAGGACCACATCTTACGAGTGGAAACATGATTGTATTTTATATTGTGAATCAATGAATACAGAGAGTTACAAGTTCACATATATATTATGTGAAAACTATAAAGAAACTTAATGAACTAGTTAACTAACTAACAGGAAGAGTGAACAGAAAAAAATAACTACTTCCATAAAGCTAAAAGCCAATCAGCTTGAGACACGTCAGCTGTCATACTTCAACTATCTTGAGTGAGATTGATCAGGTGCATACGTCAACAACCCCCCCACAAGCAGGATGGTGGATATCACGAGGTCCTAGCTTGCCAACCATAACAGCAAATGGATCAGGATGAAGACTTTTAGTGAATAAATCAGTCAACTGAGCAGATGAAGCAACTGGGAATAAACATAATAAACCAGCTTGGAGCTTTTCCCTAGTAAGATGAATATCAATCTCAATATGTTTTGATCTCTAGTGAAGATTAGTATTTTTGGCAAGATATATAGCTGATACATTATCACAATAAACGAGAGCTAGTGTGGAACAAGGAACATCAAATTCTCGAAGTAAATAAGAAATCCACTGGAGTTCACAGGTCATGGAAGCAAGTGCTCGATACTCAGCTTCATTGGATGAACGAGACACTGTAGATTGTTTCTTGGAATGCCAACCAATCAATGAAGAACAAAGAAAAATGCATAATTTGGTAACTGATCTCCTGGTGTCTGGGCAACATGCCCAATCAGAATCAGTGATGCCACTCAATTGAAGAGAATTCACAGAGGGAAAAAATAAGCCAGTTGCAGGAGATCCTTTAATGTATCGAAGGACACAATTAGCATCAGCAGAGTGATCAGAAGTATGAGCACTTACAAAATGGCTGAGTTGTGGAACAGGAAAGCAAATATCCGGACGAGTAGTTGTAAGATATAGTAAACGACCAACTAAACGTCGATCGGAAGCAGCCTCTGATTCAGAAAGTGGAGTCCCAATATTATGAGAGAGCTTGGTTGCAGGCACCATAGGAGTAGAGGATGGCTTAGCACCCAAGAAGCCAGTGTCAGATAAGATATCCAAGGCATATTTTTGCTGATTCACAGCAATACCAGTTTTGCTCCTTGAAATTTCCAGACCCAAGAAAAAACGCCATGGGCCTAAGTCTTTTATTCAAAATTTACTATCCAAGGTTGCTTTTACACGTTGAATCTCAGCATGACTATCACCAGCTAAGACTATATCATCAACATATATAAGAAGGACTGTGAAAGAGCTATCATTGCGCTTAATGAATAAGGAGTGGTCAGCTGTAGATTGAATATAACCAAGAGAGATCAATGTGCAAGAAAAATTAGAATGCCATTGTCTACTAGCTTGTTTCAAGCCATAAAGTGATTTGCGTAATTGACAGACTTTGCCTGATGGAGCTTGGACACCAGGAGGTAAAGCCATAAAAACTTCTTCATTTAAATCACCATGTAAAAAGGCATTGTTGACATCTAGTTGTTCAACAATCCAATTTCTGGCTGATGCAATCGAAAGAAGTATTCTGACAGTAGTAACTTTTGCTACTGGACTGAAAGTATCAAAATAATCCACACCCTCCAATTGTGTGTACCCTTTAGCAAATAAGCGAGCTTTGCAAACGTTCTACAGTCCCATCTGCTTTATATTTCACCTTATACACCCATTTACAGCCAACTATGTGTTTCCTAGGTGGAAGATCAACAAGATCCCAAGTATGATTCAAGTCTAAAGCAGATAATTCTGCTGCCATGGCCTCTTTCCAGCATTGGAGTTTAGAGGCTTCAGTATAGGACTTAGGTTCAAACAGGGTAGTAAGATTAAAACAGAACCGTGTATATGAGGGAGAACATGCAGCATATGATAAAACATTAGAAAGTGGATAGCGAGTACCAGAACAAGAAGATTGAGCAGCTGAAACAACGTGGTTGCAATGGAAGTCCAAAAGATAGTTTGGTTGTCTTCTTGTCCTGGAAGATCGATAAAGAGGAGGAGTAACAATGAGAACTAATGGAATTGTATCAGAACTAACAAGAGGATGTGTATCAGAAGGGATATCATTGGGTGGTCGATGGATAGGAACAAAAGGGTCATCAAAAATAATAGGTGATGTACATGGAAAAATGGATGAGGTATGTTCACTTACAGTGGATGAATTAGCAAATGGAAAAACCATCTCATAAAATATGACATTCCGAGAAAAGCATAACCTATGAGAAGGTAACTCAAGGAGAAGATATCCTTTAGCACCTTCTTGATAACCAAGAAATACAGATTTCTGGGCCCTTGGTGCAAACTTTGTACGATGAGAATGTAAAGTGGACGCATAACATAAACAACCAAATGATTTTAGTTGATTAAGGAAGGGTGGTTTGCAATGTAGGATTTCATATGGCATTTTATGTGCAAGCAGTGGGGTACATAGACGATTAATGAGATGAATTGAGTGTGCTATGGAGTAACACCAATAAGACTTAAGGATATGGGCTTGAAACATCAAAGCTCTAGCAACATTCATAATGTGTCTGTGTTTACATTCCACTATGTCA